TATTGTTGTTGTTAATATTTAGTATACATTCACTTCTTTTGGTGGGAAAGTAGTGTAATATATTCATACGTCATTGTATTACCCATGATGCCAGAGAAGGAATAAAGCAGTCAGAGAACCAAGTTGTCTCACAATGTGTTGATTTGTAAACTAGTGGGAAAATACCACAGTCAGCTATGATTACAATGTTTTGAGGACATGACKCCGTTTTACATTTTCCACCATCTTATTAGAATGTATATGAGAATCGGCGTCAAGGGCCTAATGTGAAGTGGAGGAGAAGAAACTGCTAACATTTGGCATTTTTTTACTATCAAATAACCTCTTAATAACAGCATTTTTGATCTTTGTTTGAACATATATTTATTGAATATATATATATTATCAGTATGCCGATCAATAGCACAATTATTGACTTGATTCATGTACTGTCCGTCTGTGGTGAAACGTTGACAAAGTTTGTACTCCAAACCTCTCCACAAGCCATTGCAGAAAACAACTCGRTTCCTGATAGTCTGGCGTCCCCTTCTTGGATCTCAAGAGGGTGAAACACGAACGACCTACTCTTATCACTAGACCACGTACTTCCAATAGCCTTTGCAATGATTTGTTTTGTTCTAAAAAAATGTTCTGTTTGTGATTGGTTCAAAATCAAAGATGGCGTATTTTTGTATATGAGAAAATCGTACAAAGGTTCTTGAATGCACATGGGCCTTTTGAAAAATAAATAAAAAAATATCAAAAATAAAAATATTATTTATTTTTAACCATCAGAAACAAAACTTTTTTTTAGAACAAAGCAAACGATTGCAGCGGTTATTGGATGTACCAATATCGTCCGTTTCTATTGTTATGTTAACAAAGGCGACGGAAAAGCGTTGACTGGAGAGATGCGCAATGCGCACAGTTGGAAGACGTGCGGTAACTATGGGCAACTTAAGATTTTTGACTCCGAAGTTTTGAGTTAAGAAAAAAAGTGAAAGGTTAGGGCTATCCTTATCGCTGTGGCATGATAGTATTACACATACTAAAGTAAATACTATTTATATATTTTTTTATATAGCAATATGCAGAAATTATGATCTTTTTCGCTCACATTTCAATGTATATATAAAAAATATATTGGAAATTATGGGATATCATCGCCAATATTTTTTTCAGAATGAGTACTATTACTTCCAAAAATATTGGAAATGATATCCCATAATTTCTGATATATTTTATATATACTTGAAATATGAGCAAAAAAGCATTATAATTTCTGCATATGGCTGTATCAGAATTATATTTCGCTTTCATTTGTACGAACTCTTCACGATTAGCCGCCATTTTGTTTARATATACGCATGCGCATTGCGTTTCTCCCCAGAGTCGTAGAAGCGTGCAAACCCACGCATTAACGCATACACCAGTTGGATATCAAGTAACAACCAGAATTGCRGTTTTCAGATATTTACAATGATTGTACAATATTTTTATTCCATTTCTCACTTGAATATTTTGATAAATTTTTATACCTTAGTATACTCTTATAAAAACGTATATTTCTAATAAACTCTGGGTAAAACCGTAGCGGATAGTATAACTGCAACAACAGAATTAAGACCTATTAATTTGAGTGTCTAATAGACTGAACATAAGTACAATTGTAAAAACCAAATTTAATACGAATTCTTGTTTTATCTTACCTGCTTTTTTAATGTATGATTATGGATAAAGAAATCATTTTTCCTTCACCCTTGTCATTATTAATGAGAGCCTTGCTAGCTTTTGAAGCTRAGAAAGACTATTACTTTAATCTTTTTTGTGCAAATTAAAATTAATAGATAATTATTCCAGATAATCATTCATTATTATTACTTATTTGATAATAATCATTTATATTATACTCACTATTTATTACTTTTTAAAGCAGAGAAGGCCTGGCATTTCACTGTTTAGTGGATTAATTGGTTAAAATTTAAGATAATATTTAAGACTAATATTCATTATTAATAGCGATA